CTCCAGGTATATCCCATGATTCTGCGAAGACACTTAGTACCGAAGGAGTTAAGACGGGCTTTCAGAGCACTGTTCAGTGTCCAGGTCTCACACCCGTAGAGCAAGACCGGGATCACCAGTGCTCTGAAGAGCCTGATCTTAGTTCTCCTAGTCAAATACCGACAGCACCAAATACTCCTATTGAGTGAGTCCATAACGCCGTAGGCCAGTCCGAGTCGTCGAGTGACTTCCCGGTCGGAACCTCCGTCGCTCTGCACTACACTACCAAGATAAGTGAAGCTATCCAAGACCTCAATGTTCTCGCCACAGGGATGCACAGACTGAACACCGACATCCAAAAAGTCCCCTAATTCCTGAACCTTGGTCTTGGTCCAGTTGACCGCGAGTCCCAATGGCTTTGCCTCCTCATGCAGCGCCTCGAGAGCTACATCCAGGACCTCTAATGTCTCCACTAGAATCACTGCATCATCGACAAAGTCAAGGTCTGTGACCTTGAAATTACCAATTGATGCCCCACAGGAACTACGGTTCACGGTACGGCCAAGTATCCAGTCCATACAAGTGTTGAAAAGGGTTGGGGCCAGGACACATCCCTGTCTCATCCCGGCAGACACCGGGAAGAAGGCAGAGATTCCCTCCCCACACTTGACAGCACTCTCAGTATCTGTATACAGGCCAGACAGCAAACCAATAATTCCAGGGGGGATCCCACGGAGACCCAGTAGGCTCCAGAGACTCTCCCGGTGCACTGGGTCGAAAGCCTTCTTGAGATCAACATAAGCTGCAAGCATACCCTGTTGAAACTCAAGTCGGCGTTCCACAAGGACACGAAGTGCTAAGACACGGTCTATAGTTGACTTCTTGGGTGTAAAACCAGACTGCTCAGGTCTCTGTGCTCGTAATAGGTGGTTGCGCACTCGTGCCAGAAGCAGATGAGCGAGGACCTTGCCTGGTACGCTGAGCAATGTAATACCTCTGTAGTTGCCACAGTCCTTTTGGTCCCCTTTCCCTTTCCAGATAGGGATGACCAAGCCCCTTTTCCAGTCAGGGGGAATGGTACCAGTCTCCCAAACGGCAGACAGGACTACATGCAAACCACAGATCATGGCTTCTCCACCCGCCTTCAACAACTCTGCAGCAATCCCACAGACTCCAGCAGCCTTTCCACTTTTCAGCTTAGACACTGCCCTTCTCACCTCTTCGATGGAAGGTGGTGCCTCACTGATTGGTGGATCAGCCACTAGTGGCTGTGTGCCAGCCAACGGGAGTTGTGAAGACGGGGGATCTACCCTATACAGTTGCTCAAAGTACTCAGCCCAGCGGGCCCTATACTCACCAGGCTCTGACACAATGCGACCATCCTCTGCTCTCACTGAGCCCAATTGAGAGATGGACTTTGATCGGAGTTCCTTCAGGGCTCGGAAAGCAGGTCGAAGGTCATTTTGGGCAAAATGACCTTCCAACTCTTCCACGATGCCCCTAACGTATCTCTCTTGGTCCACTCTCAAAGAGGCCCTAGCAGAGCGAGACAGCTTCCTGTGCAAGACATGGTTCCCATCCAGTCTGGCAGCACGACTCATCTCTATAGTGTTCAGTGTCTCGTCTGAGACAACACACCTCCTTCGCCGAGGTCGGACACCAAGGCACTCCTCGGCAGCTGACAGAGTTCCTCGCTTAAAGGTATCCCACAGTTCAGCAGGGTCCTGTAGAGTACCAAGCACTTCAAACCGATTTGAGACTGCCATTGCATACTCCTGAGCCACCTCCTCACTCTTGAGCCTCTCGAGATGGAACACCTGCTGGTGAGATCTCGGGATGCGTCTAGATCTGAGGCGGAGCCTTAGTGTTGCGACAACAAGTCTGTGGTCGGTAGCAAAGAACTCAGCACTCCTAAAAACTCTACAGTTCTGAAGGATCCTCCAGCGAGTATCCACGAGAATATGGTCGATCTCTTTAGCTACAACGCCAGTATTGGAGTACCAAGTCCAGCGGTGTAGATCTCGTCTCTGGTACCACGAGCCCGCAATCCTCAGCCTCCTAGATCTTGCGAAATCTAAGAGGTATGAGCTATTGATGTTCCTAGTACCAGAGCCATAGGGACCGATGCATAGCTCGTATCCTTCCCTGTCAGTGCCAGTGACTGCATTGAAGTCCCCCAAGACCATGAGGGTGTCCCCCCGGGGACATTGATCCACTATAGAGTCAGGTTTGGCATAGAACATCTCTTTCTCTTCAAGCCCACTTCCCTCAGTAGGAGCGTAAACTGCAATTAGAGATATGAAGCCCAAAGTGTGCTTCATTCTCACAAGCAGAATACGCTCGTCAACAGGGGTAACCTTCTTGACTGAGGAACGGAAGCAGTCAGAGACAGCGCGACTCCCCTAAGGCGCGCACCATTGCTACAGCCAGACCAGTAGTAGGTATAACCCCCACTACTGGTCTCACCACTACCAGGCCGTCGCACCTCAGAGAGAGCAGCGATGGCAATCCCCAGCCTCCC